CCTCCCACAACTCATCTGGCCTTCGTTCATTAGTGTTCAAAGCCTCATATCTGTTCCTGAGAACAAGAAGCCTCTAGTTTCCTCAATTATCCATCAAGATTTGCTTCAAAGCAGCTATTAAGTCAGCTTCTCCTTAATTATCTGACAAAAATAGCAAATCTTTTACTGTGGCCTTTATGTCAAGGCACCTCTGGTTATACCTTACCATAATTTCATTACAGCTTTTCCACAACAATCACCAGGGTTTTACAGACAGGGTTTCTCTCCTAACAGTCTTGCTCAGGTCTCCCTCAAGTTTGCTCCCCAGTACACTCTCTTATACTAGTCCCACAGTTGTTGATCATTTGCAAGACCATGTGTCTGCAGTTAAGGTAGCTGAAGACCAAAGGGGGCTAAGGTAATGGCTAAAAACCAACCAACCAAACAAAACACACCCCAACTTTAGTCTAACACCAGAGGTAGCCTACACTCCAAGCTTCAATGTTGTTTATATGCAGTCTGCTCAGAGTTGTAGGAGCATAGCTTTGAAAGTAGGAAGATACTTACTTTATGTTAGAGTTCCATTTATACATCAAAGTCTCCTAAGGCATTCCTTTAATTGGAATGTTGGGTTTTGCTGATACATGGTTAGTACGAGCAGTAAGTGTGACTGATAACTTAAAGCTGCCAGTTTGAGTCCTGCCAGAGGCACCTTGGAAGAAAGGCTTTAAGATCTGCTTTTGAAAAAATTAGTCATAGGAAACCTAATGTAACACAGTTATGTTCTGACATGCTTGGTCTGGAGTTGGCGCCGACAAGTGGATCTTGATAACTGGCTTGTTTTCTTTTTAGGGGTGGTTGGCCTTGGCAAGTTTCCCTTCGGCTGAAATCATCCCACGGAGACGGTAGGCTTCTTTGTGGGGCCACTCTCCTGAGTAGCTGCTGGGTCCTTACAGCAGCTCACTGTTTCAAGAGGTATGTGTCTACCCTTCTGAATAGCTCATCTTGACTTTTGTTTGCTGCTTTCTGTTTTATGCTCCGGTTCTGGCACACAAATCTCTGGGACGCTGTACAGTAATCAATGCTAAGGAATAGGTAGTGCAATTTCAGTGGTTTTGGTCATTTGGATCTTATTAGTAGTGTGGGCATTTTTTATTTTTCTATTTGTTTTTTTTAGGAAGTCAGATTATACATGATTTAGTCTTGACTTTCCCATAACTTGGTTCTGGTTATTTCCTCTTGTCCCAGACATTTTATCAGTAAAAACTGAAGTTGTCTCCCAGTGCAGGAAAGATATCAGTGTGTGCTCATATGGACAGGGCATGCAGAGGAACCAGGACCTCCATCCTCCTCGTCCAGTGTTCTTCCTTAGGTTCTAGTTAATGGCTCCTTTCTCACCATGAATTTTGGTATTTAAGTTATACACAGATATTTAGTAAAATATTGATAGTTACTGAGGTAAAGTGATGAGCATATGTGTTCCATTAAATACCCTCTCTAAATTTATGTTTCAAACTTGTCATAATAGCTTTTAAAAATGTACCATATTGTTTTGTTTTCTTTTTATTATTTTATTTATAATTTAATAAGAGAGATACAGAATAGTTGGGCAGATATTCCATGTACTCACCTGTATGTTATCCAGAGTTAATAAAATGAACATTTGCCATTTTCAGTTCTTAAAGAAAGAGTATAGATTTATTCTGTTGCTGTTGTTATATGCCACTGAGACCCAAGTTGAACCTCCAGTAGCTTCTCAGAGGCTAAATCAATCACAATGGAGAAGACTGCTCATTTTTCTCTCTTGAAGCATTTGATGAATTTGAACTGCCAGCCTTTCAGTTGGCAGCAAAACTTCTTACCCACGAGGCTACCAGAGCTTCTTTGTAAGTTCATTAGACATTATGAATTTATTTTTCTAAAGTAACTGTACCAGTTTATATTACAGCAGTGTTTTCGTTTCCCTCAATCTCTATATACATTGGGTGACAAAAAAATTTTAATAGGTACCAATCTTAAGAGTTTTTGTATTTCCTTTAATTTTATTTCCCCATTAGTTCTTTCCTCATTTATGGATTCTGTGTTCCTGTTCTTTTCCTTTTTTTCCTACTGAATTTTTGTAATTTGTAAACATTTATCATCAGTATGTTTTATGTATATCTTGCTGTTATATGCTGCAAATACCTTTTCTCATCTTGCAGTATGGTAAAAAATATTCTAATCTTAATATATTTAAATGTGTCAATCTATTCCTTTAAAATTTTGTGCTATCTTCTTACATTGTAATTGAAAAATACTTTCCTAGTTCTATATAAGGGAGCTCTGGTAGCCTAGTGGCAAGAAGCTGTGCTGCAATCCTGAAGGCACATGGTTCAAGGCCACTAGCCACTCCGCTCTATGGGAGAATGGGTAATCTCCTTCTGTACGATTAACTGCCTCTGAAAACCCGCTAGAGGGTCAGCTATGGGCCAGTTCTGACTTTACAGTACACAACAACAAGAAGTCCTAGCTAAGAGTCCTGGTAGCATAGTCTGTTGAGAGCTATACTGCTAGTCAAAAGGTCATGTCTCTCTGGTAGTTTGACCAGCCACATCACAGGAGAAAGATGGCCAGTCTTGTGCAATTTACAGCCTCCAAAATCCCACTGGAAGGTCAGCTATGAATCAGTTCCAGCCTGGCAGCAATAACTATGAGTCTTATCTAATGAAAATATTCACTTTATTGTTTTAATCTAGTTAATTGGCTTTGTGTAAAGTGTATAGAAGAGATCTGACTTTATGCTTCTTTTCATAGATAGCTAGGGTTTTTTTTTTTTTCAGTGGCTTTTATTAAAGATTTCATTCTTGACCCATTGATTCATGCAAACTCTGTCATTTGTCAGAATCTCATATAGAGTTTTATTTCTAGAGTCTTGATTCTGTCCTCCTACTTCAATAAATATTTATGTTATACACTTTCATAAAAAGTTCAATATACTGTTGTTGTTGTGTTTTGGAGTGAGAACCAACTCATAGCTGACCTTCCAGTGGGTTTTCAGAGGCAGTTAATCATACAGGAGGAGGCTGACCATCCATCTCCTGTGGAGCAGCTGGTGGCCTTGAACTGTGATTCTTGCTACTAGGGCCACTAGAATATAAAATTATGTATTTTACACAGCCTTTGCCATTTCTGTAATAATAATTGGGTTTAGGAGTCCACCTATATGCCAATAGGTTTAATATAATCATGTTGTAATAGTAATACTGATATAAAGTTGATATTAATTTTTAAAGTTTACCAGTAATTATTGTATCTCAATAATCCCAGGCATCCTGCTAAGAACTACAGTATAGTAGAGAATAAGATAGATAGCATCCTTGCCGCCATGGAGTTTCTGATGTAATGGCAGAAACCCAGAAGAGAAACACATGGCTTGGTGTGAGAAAGAAAAGTTTAGAAAACATTTTCAAAATATGATTCTTAGCTTAGATTTATTTAGGTTGTTAAAAATTCAGGTTCCTGGGTTCCCTTCCCAGGTCTACTGATTCTTGCATATGAGATCCAGGTATTTGTATTTTTCTCATGATTCTTATGTGCAGTAACCATTAACCTCACATGGAGCTTAGTGGATAGACTAGAATATGGTCTAGATATATGAAGAATGAATATAAGGAAGAATATAATGGAGTAGCCATGACCCCTTAACTTTATCCTGTTCAACATATTAATTATTAAATCACAGAAGGACACTGATGGAAAGTTAATTTTATTTTTGGATGTTTGGATTTTTGGAGGGAAAGGCAGGATCATGATGGTCAGAGGCTGATTCCAACAGTATAGATAAGGACGAAGTAAAATGCTGCCTGAGTTCCAGGAAACATGACTTCAGAGCAAGTAAAAAACACTCATAAATTTATAATCCACAAAGTTAATTCAATCTTGAGCTGCACTGATAGAAGCATAAATGTCTGGGGAAAGCAGCAGAGAACTTTGCTGTCCATCTTACCGTTTCTCAAGCCATTGTAGGGGAATAAAAGCATGGCTTTGACCAAGCAGAACTGTCCTGACTGACACACTGTGAAAAGGAGGCATGGTACACCAAGTAGGGTGGTGGGAAAGGAAGATATATCTCAATTGTTTTAAACTATGTCCTTATATTCTTTTTCAACTCAGTGTTCCAAAAGTGCCCTCCTTGTCTGTTCTCTTTGTTCCTGGTATCTTGCATTGAAGAGGGCTGAGGCTCCCATCTTCCTGGTTAGCTGTTTTACCTGGAAGTCTCCTTCTCAACTATTTTGAAGAAACTGGAGATGTTCAGGCTTGAAGAGACAGTGTTTTTTTTTGGGGGGGGGGGTTGTCACATATTTAAGGCTTTAAAAATATTTAACCACTGTTTATGTCGAATCCTTTTAGGTTTATTTCTTGTAGTCTCACATACAACAGATATGAAATAGAAATTTTTAAAATTTTAACATAGAATTCATTTATTTTTGTTGTTTTTTCTGCTACTTTTTAAAAAATGTCCTTATTATATTTTAAAGAGAGAATAAGCTAGATGTGGCAGGAAAAGTGGGTTCTATTACAGAATCTGTTCAAGCTGGCAGAACAGTGAGAAACTGTATTCATTTTTTTCATAGATAATGCCTGATGTTGAAAATACAGTAGTAAAAAGTAGTAATAGAGGTGTATTTGAAGGATGGTAAGTATTAACTTGGGTGACAGTGTTGGTTCAGGGGTAGAATTCTCACCTTTCATATGTGAGATCAAAGTTAGATTCCTGCCCACTGTACTCTCTGTGTGGCCAGTCATTAATTTGCCACGGGCTTGTGTTGCCATGATGCCAAATCAATTTTAGTAGATCTTCCAAAAGAAGAGGGATTAGGAAGAAAGTTATGGTGCTCTGCTTCCCAAAAATCAGCCACTGAAAACCATGTAGATCAAAACGATCCAGTCTGCAACTAACTATGGGGATAGGATAGTACAGGACTGGGAACCTTTTTGTTCTTTTGTGCATGGGATTGCCATTCGTTAGCATTCGGTTCTTGTATTTGTTTATGGTAGTTGGAGGATGAAAGCTGTAATGACCTGGGATAGTGTAACTGAGGAACAAAAGGACTACAAAACATGCAAAATATTTTGTGTACAGTATTAAAAATAACTGGTTATTATTTCAGGATTTGAAAAGAGGAAGCAATCAAATATTAGCAAAAATAGATGTCAGGTTGATTTTCTTTACTAGTTTTCCTTCACTTTACCAGAAAGCAAACTGCAGAGAACCTGGATGTGTTATATGCTGTTGAGTCGACTAGAAGTCATCGCAACCCTATGAACAACAGATCTGAACCTTGTCCTATTCTGTGCCATCTTCACAGTCTCTGGCACTGTCCAGATGCAGCCCTGGATGTGCTCACCATTCTGTGCCAGGACTGTGTTGAAGTTTAGGTTTAAAAAAAATTATTCATTGGGTTAAGTTAGTCTTCTTATTTAAGACTCCCTGTCTTTCAAGTCACTGTTAAAAGCTATACTCTTAGGTATTAAAAACTTAAAAGTACTAACGTGGAGGAATTATACAGGCATACAAATGCCACTGAGGTTGAAAAATGTGATCTGAATTTTGTGTTCCCTAGATAGGGGAGTCTGTTTTTATTTTCTAAGCACATGCTTTAATTTGTTTGCTTTCATGGTTTTCTTCCTCCCATAGACTGTTCCTTTTAGATAGCTTAATGTCACTAATGGTTTCATTTGTGTTTTTAAACTGAATGTGTAATACATCACTTGGCACATAGGAGATACTTCTGATTGTTCCATGATGACAGTGAGGACTTAGTTGCCAGATAGTGGATATATTTACGAATGTTGGCTGATTTAGTAAATGGTGGTATTTAAAACTTTGAGCAACATATATTTCTTCCATATATCATTCTGCTTTTCCCACCATTATTTGTGCACTACCAGATAAAGGCAACTGATTAAAAGAGTGACATGTGATGTGCCTTTAT